CACCTAGACATCGTCAGCCCTTGGGCTGAGTGGGATAGCATAGCCTCATAGAGGCAGACGCCGAGGCGATAGCTGAGGACCAAGAAGCGCATCGTGATTCCGAGTGGAAATATAAAACGGCGATGAAATCACCTCTTCTTCTGGTTTGGAAATACATCAGCAGCCACAGTCGGAACATCTTCTCACAAAACAATAGCTCTGCTCTTCGTCTTCTATATATCCAGCCCCTCAACGCCAGCCTTCAGTCGCCACCTGAAAGCCCCCCTTAATCCAGCAAAAATGCACTTCCAAAGCTTCGTAAGACTAAACTCTCTCCTCAACTAAGTCTTGACAGCTCGCTGTCAGTATCTAAGGAATGCTCTTCAAGCTAATCTTGACCTGTATCTACAGCTCCTCGCGGCCGCCATAAGCCTGCCTTTCTCCATGGCCGCTCCAGTAGCCGAAGCAGACACCACCAGCAACGTGGCAACCACCAATAACGCAGCAACCACCAGCAACATTGAGGCTCGAGCCTGCCCCTACACCGGCTGGTTTCAATGCATCAATGTCCAGACCAATCTCTGCATCGCCCAGTGTGCTTGGGCTGGCAGGAGATCCGCTGTCTGCCTGTCTGGTTGTTCGGCAAACGCGAATAGTGCTTGTGGCGCTTACGGCTGCGGCCAGTGAGCTCGATTGAACGATTCAAGAGATGTTAGAGAGGAAGAAGCTGACTTGTTATGGAATTGAAGAGGGGATGCAAGAATTGAGAAAGGGCTGATTAGGGAGGCAAGGGAAGGGGGGGTTGTTTCGCTGGGGCTATCAGGTAGTTACTATTCAGAACTTTCTTGACTTAACCTTGCACTTTCAACCCGGAGCATGCCAAATGCCTCGTGTAGTGTACCAGCCGGCTCCCGAGTATCAACTGAATGTATACAAGTGATTAGAACGGGAAAAAGGATGCAACTTAAGTCGAGGATTCAAAAAGGATGCCCCCTCACGGGATTGAACCGTGGACCTTCGCATGTCGAACAAGTACGAGTGCGACGCTCTACCACTGAGCCAAAGGGGCTTTCTGGAATTTTTCTGCTTCACGGATGCTGATATCGCGCGACCCAGCGTGAGCGAGCGTGAGCCAGTGGCCCGGCCTGGAATTTGGGCGGCTCAGACACAACGGTGTCATGTCAAAGACCGGCTGCTCGCGCAAGAAGTCTTATCAGGAGGCCTGTCGCATCCAGTTCGAGCGGCCGTGGTTTGCCATGAGCTAGTCGTTCCTCAAGGTGCATCATCTTTGCTGTCAAGAACGACGGCGTAGATTTCTTAGGGAACCACTTTATACTGACATTCTTCGATGGCTCCATCTATGGAGAGCAGGTTAGAAGAGGCATACCATCACAGCCAGTCAACCAAACTCGACCAACTGGCGACAAGACGAGATACCACAAGTACAAGGCACAATATATCACATCACCATAGAAGGTTGTTTGTCTTAACATTCCAATTCTGAGCGTCTACCTCATCTGTCTCATGATCATGACGGGCTAACTAGAATACACCCATACATCTAATATGGGGAGGCAATTATGGAAAACTTCCGAAGCCGCAATTAAAACCGAAAACCGTCCAACTCCGATGAACTTTTTCTCTGGTATCCCGTATTTTTCATCCCAAAGATCCTTTAGTCAACCTCCTCCATGGCGCTGTCGCCAGTCTCGACAGCGGACGTGTCAGCGGCGGGAGCCTCGACAGTCTCCTCCTCCTCGTCAATGTTCAGGCCGAGCTGAACAAGCTTGTGGATACGCTCGGCGAAGCTGGCGGGCTCATCAATGGTGAAGCCAGAGACCAGGAGAGAGGTCTCGAAGAGAAGCTGGACGATAGACTTGACGGTGCGGTCGTTCTCGCCGTCGGTCTCGACCTTCTTCTTGAGCTCCTTGATGATGGTGCTCTTGGGGGAGATCTCGAAGGTCTTCTTGGAAGACATGTACGAGGACATGGAGGTATCACGGAGGGCCTGAGCCTTCATGATACGCTCCATGTTGGCGGACCAACCGAACTGGCCAGTGCGAATGGCGCAAGGGGCACCAGTGAGCATCTGGGAGACGACAACCTTCTCGACCTTGTCGCCGAGAACGTTCTTCAGGCTCTTAGCGAGACCCTCGTACTCCTTCTCCTCGGCCTCACGGGCAGCCTTCTCCTCCTCGGTCTCCTCGAGCTCGAAGTCCTTGGTGATGTCGACGAGCTTCTTGCCCTCGAACTCCTTGAGCTGAGTCATGGCGTACTCATCAATGGGGTCAACAAGGAAGAGAACCTCAAAGTTCTTCTCCTTGAGGGAGTCCAGGAAGGGAGACTTGGTGACAGCCTTGATGGACTCGCCAGTGATGTAGTAGATGTTCTTCTGGACCTCGGGCATGCGAGTGACGTAGTCGGAGAGGGAGGTGAGCTCATCGCCAGACTTGGTGGAGTTGAAGCGGAGGAGCTTGGCGAGGATGTTGCGGTTCTGGGAGTCCTCGTGGATTCCGAGCTTGAGGTTCTTGGAGAAGGCAGAGTAGAACTTGTCGAACTGCTCCTTGTCCTCAGCGATCTCCTGGAAGAGCTCAAGAGCCTTCTTGACGATGTTCTTCTTGATGACCTTCATGATCTTGTTCTGCTGAAGGGTCTCACGAGACAGGTTGAGGGGAAGGTCCTCAGAGTCGACAACACCCTTGACGAAGCCGAGCCACTCGGGAATGAGGTCGGTGGCATCGTCGGTGATGAAGACACGGCGGACGTAGAGCTTGATGTTGTTCTTGGTCTTCTTGGTCTCGAACAGGTCGAAGGGAGCGCGCTTGGGAACGAAGAGGATGGCACGGAACTCGAGCTGACCCTCAACAGAGAAGTGCTTGACGGCAAGGTGGTCCTCCCAGTCGTTGGAGAGGGACTTGTAGAAGGAGGCGTACTCCTCCTGGGAGATGTCCTGGGGGTTGCGAGTCCAGATGGGCTTCTGCTTGTTGAGCTCCTCCTCCTCGATGGAAGTCTCCTTGACCTTCTTGGTCTTGGGCTTCTTCTCCTCCTCATCGTCATCGACCTCCTCGATCTTGGGCTTCTTGTCGTCACCCTCCTCGGTGGTCTCGGTGGCCTCCTCATCGGGGACCTCCTTCTCGGTCTCCTTGGTGACGTGGAGGTAGATGGGGTAGGAGATGAACTCGGAGTGCTTCTTGATGACCTCCTTGACCTTGGCCTCGTTGAGGTAGTCGGTCTGCTCATCCTTCAAGTGAAGGATGATCTTGGTGCCGCGGCCAAGAGCCTCACCCTCGGTGTCAGGGGTGATGGAGAAGGTACCACCAGCGGAAGACTCCCAGACGTACTGCTCGTCATCATTGTGCTTGGAGACGACGGTGACCTTGTCGGCGACAAGGTAGGCAGAGTAGAAACCAACACCGAACTGACCGATCATGGAGATATCGGCACCGGCGGTGAGGGCCTCCATGAACTGCTTGGTTCCGGAGCGGGCAATGGTACCCAGGTTGTTGACGAGGTCCTGAGGAGGTCAGCTACTGATCATTGCAATTGAGTGGTAAATATTGGGAACATGTGGTACTTACAGCCTTGGTGAAACCAATACCGGTATCACGGATGGTAAGGGTCTTGTTCTCCTTATCGGGGATGATGTCGATTCTCAGGTCCTTGCCCGAGTCGAGCTTGCTGGGGTCGGAGAGGGACTCATAGCGGATCTTGTCCAAGGCATCGGAGGCGTTGGAAACAAGCTCACGCAGGAAGATCTCCTTGTTTGAGTAGACAGTGTTGATGATGAGCGACAGGAGCTGAGAGATCTCAGCCTGGAACTCGAAGGTCTCCGGGGAAGACATTGTGATGGAGGATGTGGGTATCTAGGGCGTAACGGTCGTAATTCTGTCAAGATTTGTTAGATGTTGTTTGGAAAAGGTGGTTGTGTGGCGGTGAGGCTGCGATTTGTGGAGGGGTAGTAGAGCGGGGGGAGGGGAGCCTTGTCGCCGACTTCGCGGGATTGGATCTCCAGGGCAGATGATGCAGAGATGATCAATCTCAATCACTGACGAGGCTGACGCTTGAATTGCGAGATGCCAAGTTCCAATCGAAAAAGAAGTGAGGGGTGACGGTAGGGACGGCAAAACGGCATCGAGACCAGACCGGGACAGCGGGGTATGTTTCGGCGGGCTTACCTTGAGAAGAGCTTCTCTACGAATGCAACAGGTCTTTCGCTGCTACGAATCGACGATGGAAAGATTGATTCTTTTGGGGGAGTAGGAGAGAAGAGAGAAATTGGGAGAGGGAGAGAAAAGTTGAGATGCGAAGAAGAAGAAGTCTGAAAGTCAAGACGACGTGGGAAGAGGAGGAGGCTAAAAAAGAAAAAGGCGTCTGGAGTCCCGGTGGCCGTCTGGACCCCAAAGCAGAAAGGCAGCGACGCTCACCCCCCCAGCTCAAGAATTCTATGCGATTCCATCACCTCCAGGCCTTCCAGACCCTTCTCTGATTCGCTTGCCCTGCCACCACAGCAACCGTGCGGGGGCTCTGATTGGCCGATCTGCGGGGGCCACCGTGTGGGACGAGGGTCCCTTTTTTTTTCTTGTGCCTTCCTCGCCTGCCTGCCGCCTGCCGCCTGCGCCTGCCTCCATAGCACCTCAGACTCAGACCAGCATGGAAAAGAAGAGAATCGCCATCCAATGCATTTGGGGAAGGGACGCCTTACCGCCATCCACTGAGGTGCGCTTACCTTGTAAACAGCTTCAAGTGTATTTATCTTAGGTACCTCACCTTATGTAAGGAACCTCTTTTGTATGTACCTTACCTACCCTATACCTACCTCAGAAGGTTAAGGAAGGCGTCGCTCTACCTAGGTACCTCACGTAGCGTCCGGTGGTCACAGCTTCTTGCCTTCTATTGATTCTCCCTTGCCTCCGTGCCTCCGTGCCTGCTTCGATGTGGGGATGAACAGTGTCTGTTTGTCCTGTCCAAAGTCTTCTTTTACTCCAGTCTTACCGCCTCCGAACGATGAATCCCCGTTCTCAATGTTCTCAAACAGAAATCGACACTTCCACTGTTTGCTAGATACTTCTGTTTGCTCCAAGGTCCACCTTGAATGGTTCGATGTCAACGCGGGCGAAGTTAAGCCCAGCAACCAGTCGTCTGGCGTTGAAATACCCTTGCCACAAGTCCCACCCATCGACGAGGCTGAAAACCAAGCGCCACCCCTTCGTGAAATCTGCCCCGAGGTTGGGTGCTGGGCTGCTGGCTTAAGTCTGCGGCGGCGCCTTGCGGATATGCCAGCACATCTCATCTCCCCCGCGTCTGAACCGCCCGCATCATTGGCAACGGCCAGGGGGTCGTTGCACGGTCCATCTCTTTTCACGACGTCTATTCTCGGCTTCAACTACAATGCCTGCCCTACTTCAGTTGGGACCCGTTTCACACCGCTGCCAAGGAGCCGCAGGAAGAGTTGCTTACAGAACTTGCTCTATCCAAAACCTACCAGCAGACATTAAGACAGGCCAATTAACTCCCGTCTATTTACACTTGGACTCAGACTATATAACTCTCAATTCAAGGTTAATTTTGACCACCCTCAACAATAGTTGCACATGGTTGGGCATATCTAGACACATCCAGGCACTGAAGAATGGGACACGGGCGAGTTTCCAGGCCCACACTGAGCTGAATGAATGCTATTTTCAAGGTAGGTATGCTAAGAGTGCTAGCCAGGTCCAAGCGGTGGTAGAATCACCCAGTTTCGGTAACCGCTCTATGCGGGATAAGCGAGATAAGCGAGATACTAAGCGATGGGCAGACTGAACAGTGCGAAGTTGCAACGGCAATAGTCTACCTGTTAGGGCAGCCCGTTTTGCGGTCACAGGCATTCCTCCCCTTAGGACAAGGCTTGCCTTTCTTGGTGCGTGTGTCGCAACAATCGGCATCCTAGACAGAGAGCACGTCAGAAAGGTCCTCTGTGATGTCTTGGGGCAGAAGGGGCAGTTCATGAGGCTACTTACACACTGCTGCGGGGTGATTCCAAACTTGGCACAGTAATTTTCTGTGTCGCCGGCAACGTTGCAAGCGCCTTGCCTGTTACAGGCATCTACGTTATCTTTACCGCCCCAGCAGCAATTGGGATCGTAGCTCCCTGCAATCATGCACTATTTCGAGTGTTAGCGACTCTGCATCAAAGCTGGCCGGACCGGAAGAGGTCACCTACGCCAGCATTAACCGATGTAATGGTCATGGCAGTAACGAAGATAAAGTTGATGAGCTGCATATTGGAGATATGAAGTGCTGCTTGAAGGTGGTTTTGAAGTAAAGTGTTTGAGAGGTCGTGATAGTTGTGTTGTGAGTGAAGAGTCGAGTGATTGCAACTCTCGGTCGACAGATGATCTGACCCTTTATATAACATAAAATTCCATTGAGGCATTGCCATAGTGCACCGATGCCACTCCTAGAAATAGGCCGCTAGCCTTGCTCGAGCAGGAGATACCGTTCTCGTGATATGAAACAGACTAGACTTCTTCATGCAATAGTTATTGTTGGTTCTGAGAGTGTGCTTGTCGAGCCTCATAGAGAGATGTATAGGCAACATAAACTTTCACTAGTATCGATGGCCTTGACGGCCTTGATGGCCTCGAAGAAGAAACACCTCCTAGAACAGGAGGTGAACCGACATACCAAATCCCACTTCGGCCATATTGATAATCACTCAAACCGACACGTATTTCTCTATTATTACCTTATACTTTATCATGTATTACCCAACGTAAGGCGGCACTCGGGCAGCTGAGCACAGTATGAAACGCGATAGACGCGGGTATTCCTACTGTCAACACAGAATAAACTGACTCGCATACCTACTCGCACGGTTGTAAACTCTATAAGCGATGGACTACGGGCCTTGGAACATGCTTCATGGATATTGTTTCCTAAACGAACGCTCTAAATCTGAATATTCTGCCTTGGTGGCCTGGAATAAGAAAACTTGCCGGACTAGGAAGTGTACGTGCATACCTTACCAAGTCTCAACTTTAACCTGTCGACCATCAAAGGCAACTAGCTCGAACATTGGCACAATCAGTGTGCTACGCCGATGGACTCTGGGCAGCCCTTTAGGATGTATCAAGGCCGTAGTCTCATGAATTGGAAAGGGGCAAGCCCGAATATCAGGATTCTATTTTCAAGTACACACAGCGGTTTGGGCTATCTGAGAAAAGTATAAAGCTCATCTGTCTTTGATCATCAGGATGACTTAGAACCAGCTCATTCTTATCTCTATCCAACTTCCACATCTTACACATCTACAACCAAACCTGATTCTTTTCCTCAACCATGAAGTTCTCCTCAGTTATTATCAGCATCATCTCCCTGACGGTGGGAACGGCCATCGCCAACCCGGCCAGGCTTGAGAACCGACAGAAAGCCCCAGGTGTTGGCGACCCAAATGCTCAGTGCGATGGGAAGCATGACTGTTGCTTTAGCTCAGAGGCTGCCTGCTTTAGGCAGTACGGTACTCTTCCCGGCAACATTTACTGTCCTCTGCACAAGTATTGTGCTACAGACTACAATATCCCCCGCACCAAATGTGTAAGTAACACGATGAGAAGAATTAAAGGGCAGAACTGACGTGTAGTATGCATAGAACGCTGATTGCTGTTCAATCTCCAATGGCTTGGGCCGTGGGTGCCCGGGCAAATAGACGGAGTCGTTACACTGTCTTTACTGGTGTTGGATCTCGAAGTACATTACTATTCAGGATAGCGGATCGGGTGCCCTTATCTTAAATATGTCGGAAGTGGGGTGTGAGCTTCAAGAGACTCCAATGCGGTAGGCAGTGAAAAGCTTACGACGGGAGGAGGAGAACCTATGATCATGAACGCGATTCGTAACATTGTATGCATAGAATGAATGAACTTGAAGAATTTTATCTATCGGACTTGGCCAAAACCGACCTGTATGATATCTCTCACCTGACGGTCTCTTGTGCAAAGCTGGTTGTTGGAAATAATTCAAAGCCCAGTTCATATCGTCAACAAGCTCCCAGTGCCGATTTACAGCCGCCCTAACTATCCTCTTTGAAATCAATGGGCGGAGTTTCCCTCACATAGTATACACTCTATCCGCAATCTCTATACATGGGGTATGATACACAACATCTCCAACCTCAGTCTCCCGTCTTCACTTCTCTCCCTTTACCAAACACTCCCCCAGCGTCCGATACCGTCGATCAGCATAAACAAGCCCAAACCCCTCCCCTCCCCCCCTCACAACCCCCTCAACCTCCCCAACAACAACAACATGATCCCTAACCCTCACCATCCCCTCCCCAAGAGCCCGGCACTTGATCACATACAACACCCCCTTCCCTTCAAGTAAAGGCGCCTCCCCATCCTCCTCAACAACCTCAACCCCCCCAGGCAACCCCTCAAACAACCCCTCCCCGGCACCAGCGTTCCCCCTCGTAAACAAATCCGCAACCCTCGCGCCCTCCCCTCCCTCCGCGAGAACATGCACATTGAAAACTCCGCCGCTCTCACGAATCGCATCCAGCGTCCGGCTCGGCGTCCGGACGTTGAACGTCACCAGCGGCACGGGCTCCATGCTCAAGCTCACGAAGCTCGACATCGTCATGCCCCGTGGCCGACCCGCGCGATCTGTGGCCGTGGCGACGACGACCGAGTGCGCTAGTCTCCGCATCACGCCGCAGAGCTGTGCTGGGAGGTCGGCTGTGGGGTCGTGGGTTGTTGTTGGGGGTTGGTGGGGTTCTCTGCGCCATGTTGTCGTTGGTGTCATTGGTTTCGAGGAGGAAGAGGAAGAGGAGGAGAGATATCGCGGTGTCGTGTGTATTGTTCGGTGGTGCTCGGAGGTCGGTGGGTTTGGGCCGACGGGCCCTGGTATGCTTGAAGAACGTTCATTCTGAGCTGAGACGATGCGTCAGTGACCATGTTCAAGCATATTGAATAGTGGCAATGCCTTACAGCTTCCAATCAGGGTCCGCTGAACGCCGCCTCCTTCGGTCCTTGGCCGGCCGACGCGACGCAGCGCGGCCCCCAGCACACGAGCTCCGGTCATCGCATGCGCCGGAGCTTAGCCCGAGGTTGCCGTACGGGGTAGCGCGCAGTCACTTCGCGATTCGGCAGTCTAACCAAGCAATAAACGGTGCAACTGTAATCCGCGCAGGTCGCGTCTGTAAATTCTGTCAAAGGAAAGCAATGGCTCGTGGAGTGGCTGTGAAGGACGTCAAAAGCTGGACTTCCTTACCCCCCTTGTAATGGTGGTAGCTCAAGCTCTCGGTGATGTAAATCGAACCCAGAAAAATTCCTTATCGATAAGAAATCACTCCCCGGGCACACGCTGAGCTGTGGACCCGCGCGCACGGAACTCCCCGGCCCCGACCAACCGAAATTTTGGTTTCCTCAGGTCGCACGGCCAGCGGCCAAGGAGAATCGAGCCAATCGAGCCAGCATCGCCAAAAGCTTCAAACAAATTCTCCTCTGCCCACGCGCGCGCTTCCTCCGCCCGTCGCACCGTTCTCGCCACCGAACCTTTCTCTACGATCCTACTAGAGCTCTTCCTCGCCTCCAAATTGATTGAGCTTCCTCCACCACTCCTCGAACCATACGAAAATCCGCAAAAATGGGCAAGCTCCCAACCCACCTGCCCAGGCCGACAAGCCTCCTCGCCCACCGACCCTCCCTCACAACCTCCTCCTGCTCCGGCGCCACAATCTCCTCCGCCTCCTCACCGAGAATAGGTCTCCCAACCCAACAATCCCGTGCAGCAACCTTCATTCCCCGCCCCCGCCGCCCTTACACCTTCACCCAGCTCATCCAGCTCTCCGACGGAAGCACCTACACCGTCCGCACCACCTCCCCGAGCCCCCTCGTCCGCTCCGCAAAGGACTCCCGCAACCACGCCCTCTGGCAACCCTCTGACAAGTCCCTGAAGAACGTGGAAGTCGACGAGGCCGGAAAACTCGCGGCCTTCCGTGAGCGTTTCGGTCGCGGGTTCGATTTGGCTGCCAAGAAGCCGACGGAGGAGGAGCTCAACGCCGCCGCTGCTGCGGCCGCAACTTCTTCTGCAAAGGGCGCTGGAAAGGACGCTGCTGCCATAGGAAAGGAGACTGCTGGAAAGGACGCTGCTGCTGCCGCCCCGGCAAAGGAGACCGCGAAGCCTGCCCAGCCGGCTGCTACCCCCGAGGAGGACGACATCTTCGACATGGGCGATTTGATCAGCGGGTACGCCGCGATGCAGCCGCAGCAGGCTGTCAAGGAGCCCCCCAAGAAGGTGGCGGCACCGGAGAAGGGCAAGAAGGGAAAGAAATAAGGCAACGCGAGAGCATGACACAAACAAAACCATCACCACTGTCGTCAGCATCCCCTGCGTATAGCTGGCGAGAAAAGAAGCTTGTACGATGCACAGAGCCGGATCATTGTATAAAAAGGGAGATTTCACGGAGACCCGCCGAGAGGGCGATCAAAAGCGTGGTCAGAGGAGGAGGTGGATTACGGGAGCCCCTTATACCCCCCATGGGGTTTCTTCTACTGTCAGATATGTACAACAACCACAACTACTACAACCAAGAAAGGATAGGCTCCACAATGTGCACTTATTGCCCACACTTGATTCACTCGTCACTCGTCCCAGTGCGCCGTGGGGTCGAAGAAGAAACCGCTGCTGTGATGCGTAGGTATAATGTAGTGAATCAGCGGACGCCGTGCCTCGGGCTTCTAGTCAGAGTCGTCGTTGATGGTGGCACGAGCCCTGTCAATGGCCGTGTTGCCGGGCGGTTTGCCCGAGGGCTGGATGACGGGCGGCCGGTAAAAGACCGTCTCGTCGTCCTCGGCATCCAGCTGCATGAGGAACGTCTCCCACTTCTCAATCAACTGTCAAGCGTCAGCCTCAGTCCCACCTCATGTATGTCGCGGATTGTCTTACCTCTTTTTGTGCCTCTACCGCGCTCTCCAAGAAGGTCTCAACGCCGCTCTTGAAGTCCTCCACCTTTTCTCTCTCAAAGCGGTCAAGCTCCGCCCTCATCAACCGACCCATATCCTCAAATAGGAGCCTGGCCTGGTGCACCTTTCTCTCCACGTCGCCGACCTCCGCGCTAACCTGGTTCAGCCTGTCCTGCTGGCTCTTGCCTTGCCGCAAGAGCTTGTCCTGGGAAGCCTTCTTCTTCTGCAGTTCTGACTCGGCAGAGTGCCACGAGTGGAACGCCTTTTGTCGCTGGCTGAACGCCTGCTTAACTGACCCAATCAGGCGGATGTACTCCTCGATAATGATGCCAAAGGTCAAAACATCCTGCTGGGCCTGACGGTCGTAGACATCGCGGATTGTCAGCTGCAGCTCGGACAGCGCATCCAGCGGGCCCGACAACGAGGGCGAAAGCTCAACCGTAGACAGAGCGTGCAGAGACGCCGAAAAGTCTCCAGCGGCCTCGGCCATCATCTTGCGCTGGCCAACCATTGTCTCCATTGCCTTGAGCAACGCCTTGAGCTGGTTCTCGAGCGCATCGAGGTAGACCTTGCGGTCATGGAACCACTGTCGTCCTCTGTCAGTATACAATCCTCCTGGTAATCCCAGCGCACACTCACGTCATCTTGCTCGACAAACTTGCTGCTGCCACCGACATTAATGCCCAGACTGCCGAGGACACCCTTGCTTTCTCCGGGAATCGGCTCCCTCCGCTCCTTGTGCTTGACGTCGACGTTGAATGATTCGCTCTCGAGGAACAGCTTCAGGTCGGCATCGTGCTGTAGGGTAGGGTGCGCAGCAGTCTTGTTCACCATCTTCTCCAGAGCGGCGCGACGTCCTTCAACAAAGTTACTCTCGAAGCGACCGACAGCCTGCTTATCCGGCGGCGGCGGCACAACAACACCGGGGTTGTTTCCGTGCAGCGTATTGTACAGCCAAAGGAAGTCACGGTATCTGCGCTTCACCTCGAACTCGGGCTGCTTGTATGCCTTTGAGGAGGTCTGTCGGTTCCATCATGATTAGCGCGGGCTCCTCTCCCCCAATCCCCGCTTCACCAATGGAAGAGCTTCATCTTACCTTGGTCCTGACAGAGTAGACGATATGCGAGCTGGTCAAGTCTCCAACCTTGTGCGGATCGCCCACCGTGATCTGGAAGCTCGGCTTGCTAGCCTGCTCGACGCTGACGCTAGGCTGAGTATGCGTCCGCACCGGGCTAGGATGCGCCGCCTGAACGGGCGGCGGCTGCCTCGGGCCAGACGGACGGTCGTAATCGTCCTCGTCGATGTGATGAGGGTCGGAAGGTCCGGCGCGGCGGCCCTGCTGGGGCGGCATCGAGGTGCGGATCACCATCTGCTCCTTCTGCGGCGGCACGGGCGGAGCATCCTGGCCGGCTTCGGCGCCATTGTCTGCGGCGGCGGGAGCGCCGAGGGGACCCAAAGGACCGAGGGGATCGTCGACGGCTTCAAGGCGGGTAGGTTGGGCGGAAACGAGGCGACGAACAGGTCCGGAGCGTGAAGGGCGAGGTGCGGATGCCGTGCTGGGTGCGTCTGACTTGGCCGCGGGCTGCGACGACGTCGACTCTTCGCTTTGGGAGGGCTGCTGTTGGGTCGAGGGCTCGGAGGTGGGTTGCGAATCGCCCCATGGCGACTCTTCGAGGGGATCCATCCTTTCGTTTGCTCGATGCGCCAGTGGCTATGGTAATCTCGTGAGAATGAAATCTGGTTAGATGACGGGCCTGTGGAGTACCACGGAAAGCGGGCGATGGTTGGGGTGGTGAATTGAGGTGAGGTGGGATGTGGTCTCGCAAAAGGCAAGGCAGCACAGTGAGGTGAGGTACATCCAAGGCACGGCCGGTTCTGGTTGTGTCTGACTGACAGAGGCTCAATGCGAGAGGTGCACAGCTGCTCCGCACTACCTGATTCGCTGAGGCCCGTTGGAAGCTTCAGCCACTCGACCTCGATTGGGACCCCAGAGCCCATCGAGGCTCCTGTAGCCTGTAGGTACCTACCCGGCCTGCCCCAGGAGCGCCGCACTCGAGGTACCTAGCGGTTGCGGTCAACGTCACTGTTCCTGTCTCGACTGACGCCGGGCAATGGCGGTGCTAACGTACGAAGTACCTTACCGAGACATGCCACGAACAAAGATACAATTCAAAGGGAAGCGTTCACATGCATTTTACTTAGATCACGGGCAAATCGGCTTTACAGCCTTCCCAATTGACTAAAGGTATCTACTACATTGATGATTTACACAAACCAGTAACCAGGCGATTTTGCTGTCCCAGACCAGGATTACCTCGCCCAAGTCACATTTTGTCGACTACCGTGACCCCAACGCCAAACTCAAGATGAAGACAGTCTGATTCTTTCCCTCCAGAAAATCCCGTTCCGCAGTGAGAAGAGATGCATGTTGCGCTTAACGGTCGGGATCGTAGCAGCCACCAGACACAATTAGGTTCATGCGGGTGAACTGTACCTTCATGACGGGCGTCTTCTTGGTCGGGAATGCGCTGATCTGGTCGGGCGTAATCATAACCTCCTTGCCCTTCTTCTTTCCGCCACTGGGAGCACTAGATCCACTGCCAGTCGCTCCCTGACCGCTAGCAGTCGGGCGATCCGTCTGTCCGCTGGCCGCGACGATGGTGTCGCCTCCCTCTTGAGCAGGCGCCGCTCCTTGCTGCTGCTGAGCCGCCTTGTGGCCCTCGGCAGGGAGCTCGACATCCCACACACGGACAGTGCCGTCTTGGCCGCCAGAGACGAGAACGTTGGACTCGACGCTGAAGCTCATGGACCAAATACCGCCTTTACCGTGGCCGCGGGAGCGCTTGATGCGGAGGCCCTTCTGGATGTCCCAGAGGAAGATATTGCCACTGCAATCAGCCGTGGCCAAGATTCTGCCATTGGGCGCGACCTCGATGGTGGAGATGTAGTCCGTGTGACCGGTGAAGACACGCACGCACTGGCCGGTGATGACAGACCACATGCGGACCGACTTGTCCGTCTCGTCGGAAGCCGAGAACACGTATGTTCCGTTCGGGTGCCAGGCCACAGCCGAGATGCTGGAATCGTGACCGACGAGAATGCGCTGCGCGGATGCGTGATCCTGCATCCAGACGCGAACAGTCTTGTCCCAGCCGCCAGTCAAGAAGTAGTGACCGAAAGGACCCCACTCGGCTCTCAACACCGGACCATCGTGGCCCTTGTAGACGCAGACGCAGGCCCAGATATCCAGCGACCACACTCGAACGGTGCCGTCCGCAGAACAAGACAGCAGCAGCTTGGAGCTCGTCTCGATAGGAGACTCGCCCTTGCCCTCCTCGCCGAATGGCGCATGCTCGAGCTTGGCAATGGCATCGGAGAAGGAAACTGAGTACACTTGAGCTGAGTGACCGATAAGCTTGCGGTTGTTGAACTTGTAGTCCTTCTCGTCATTGCGCTTCGACTTGAGAGGCTTGCCCTCAAGATGCCACACTCGGATGTAGGAATCCGTGGTGCCAATAGCAACCATTTCGTGATCCTTGGAGAAGTCCATGCATGAGACACTATACCAAACTGTTAGTCAAATTCACTGGATAAGAACGTACTACTTGCCTTCCTAAAGTGTTGTGGAAAGTGAACATGCACGCGCTCACAGGAACGCCGACGCCGCCGGTACGTCCGTCAATCTTGAAGCGATCACGGTTCTCTCTGACCTTCTGCATCTCCATGACAACGTCTCTGGCGCGAGATGGAGGCAAAGGCAGGTCAGCTCTTGTGGGGCCATCGGCGCTCTCCTCACGCTTGATCTTACGATCGAACTCGTCTACCAAAGTAGCACGGCCATCGGGCGGGGGGTTGAGCGCATCCTCATCCTGGAGCTCGGCCCTGACATCGTCGCGGAGGTCCTCTTCCATGGGCAGAGGACCCAGCTTGAGGGGCACCGTCTTGTCCAAGAGGTCCCGGTTTGAAATGCCGGTGAAGACTCCAGGGATACCTTCTTGTAGATCCACCTCGTCAATGTCGAGGTTCTGAGATCGGCGGTAAATCGCCTCGAAGCTGAAAGGCTCGATGGGGCCACGGGCCGTTGAATCCAACTGGCAGAAGGTCGAAAGAATGTACAGGATAACGGCGCCGCCATTGTCCCGCTCGCGCTCGAGGAAGTGGAAGAGGTTGCCACTGATGTGCTGGTTGAGCGGAACGCGGTACTTGTTCTCTCTGTACAACTTGGTGGTAGGGTTTTCCTTGGCGTGCAGAGCCAGTGTAATGGTGGAGAAGGTCTTCAGGTCATCGGAGTGGACATTCTCAAAGTACGACTTGAGGTTGTTGAGGATGATCTTGGCTTCCTCAGAGTAGTTCTGAGTGACGAGCTCGAGCCAGGAGTAGACGAAGACGGGCCAGAGAAGCTTGTTCAACTCGAACTGTAAAAGGTTAGAAATAATGAAAGGCCAGAATCAGATGGACTGCTAGAGGCTTACCTTGTAGATGTCGAGGTTGTTCTCGACCCACTCACGGAGCAAGTTGAAAGCCTTCAAGTACTTCTTAGGGCCCAAATCATCAACCTTATTGTGAATGGGTCTGCCGTCAGGACCCAAGTGCGAAGACTCTTGGCGAAAGATGGTTTCAGTACGAGTGTATCCTCGCTTCAGGAGATAGTCTGTGACCTAAAAACTGTCAGCGATGTCGGGGAAAGCGTTGAAAAGGCAACTCTGCGCGATCGTACTTTCGCTGCCTTCGCAGTCTCTATATCTTCTGGAACGAACATGTTTGCTCTCCCGCGCCGAAGACAAGTAGAAAATAGAGGAGGAAGGAGAGAGGATGAAGAGATAGGAATAGAGAAATCATGCTCAACATAAGGAATGGGAGACAAGGAGGATGTTGGGAGAGAGGCGGTCCTCTTCCACGAGAATCCAGAAGCCACGCCGCATTGACCTACCATCTCAACCTTGGACACTCTCTCTTGAAGGTAACTGGCCATTGTCTTCAAACTCCTGGATGTTGATGATATTTTGACGTGAAAGAATAATAAAGACGAATTGGAAGGTGTATGAGTTGAATGATGATGGTGAAAGGTGATGGATGAGGAAAAGGCAAGCAGAACCAAACACACAAAGAAATGTGAACTGGCAACTACCCATGAGATGGGTTTTGTTTCTGCAATTCTTGCGGGAGATGGAAGAAGCAATTGCTGTCCTTCTGTCCCCCGCCCTCGAAGGAATACACGATCCTCACCCGCCGATCTCATCTCTCACGGTTCCAACAGCACTTGCCATCACCACCAGCCGTCGACCGCCACGGTCACCACACTCGCAGCAACCGAACGATCAAACAACCCTTCCTCCCCATATAGACGCATAGGAACCACAAAAAGGACACCAAACTGACAACTGGAATCCCAACTTACAATCTGATTCAGATTCTGATTCGACATGGGCGCAGTAGCCGGCGCCGGCGCAGGCGCAGGCGTAGCCGTCGCAGGGGGCGGGATCGGCGTCTGGCTAGTCGGGATAGTAGGAGCAGGAATAGGCGTCACCGTCGCCGGTACCGTCGACGCAGCTTGTTGTTGCTGCTGCTGCTGCTGCTGAGGCTGTTGTGAAAAGGATCCCGACGCGCCTGTGCCTGCTGCGCCTGCTGCTGCCGCTGCTGGTGCGCCCGGGGTGGTGCTAGCACCTGGTTGAGCCGGGGTTCCCGACATTTTTTACAGAACGGTTTTGATAGTGTTGGAACGCGCGCAGTTGGTGTAGATGAAAATTCCTGGTTTCGATGTGGCGATGCGCCTTTCACGTCTCTCGGCGCATTAGTCGTGAACCGGGCGGGTGAGACGTGATCGTGAGTCGTCGAGCCAAGGTCGGGTATCCGTAGCGGAAACCGAGGCCGTAATCTCCAGGTTTCTAATGAGCGTGTTTCTCTGAGGAGACGTTGACTATCAGCAAGTAGTGCTGCAGATGCGAACTTCCGACTTTTGATGATAAACTTCGATGAGATGTCGTCGAAAGTCGCGTCCGGCCCCGATGAAATGAGGCTCCTTCATCCCCTGCAAGGCTGCAAAGGAAAGGACGTGAGGTCAAGGTTGGCGGCGGAAAATATCTGGAGAGGATGGCGCTAAGCCCTTCTCGACATAGTGTATGCCTCTTCGCTCTCAGTCATTGGAAGAGAGCTTCGACCTTCCCCGGTGGTCGGGCCCACCTTTTTTCAACTCAGACGCGACCTCTTGGAGCTCACCTGTGAGCTCGAGCACTCACCCACTGAATCTCACTCACCACCTCAACCTCTCATCTCACGAACTACTTTACACTCATCAAGAACCACGATTCACCCATAATATTGTCCTCTTCCCAACTCCCCAAACTCACCAATTGCACACGTCCGTTCTCCCTATAAAATCCGAAATCAGCTCTCAAACGCAACAATGGCAGACACAGCAATGACAACAGACGCCCCAAACGAACTCTTCACCCTCCAAGAACGAATCCAACAACTCTGCGAAATCGACACCCAAATAGTCTCCCTAATGTCCCACACCTCATCCGCCCTCTCCGCCCTCGGCGCACCCCCAAAGCCCTCCCCATCATCAGACCCCTCAAACCCATCCGCTCCTCCCCCCCAACCATCCTCCTCCTCCTCCCAAACCCAAACCTTCAAAACCTCAATGGACGCCCTCCTCTCCACCCTGCACACAGTAGACGTCCACATGAAGCGCCAAATCCTCGCCCTCGAAGAAGCCTCCATCATCAAGCTCCGCAACGACGCCGATCCCAAAACCCGACAACCCGTCATGAACGAGGACGCCAAAATCGTCGCCCGACCCTCCCTCGAGCCCAACGGCGTCGGCACCATTGGTAACCTCGACGTCGGGTGGCTCAATAGCCGCAACAACAAGGTCGAGCGCGACATGGAGGCCGAGTTGTGGGCCAAGATGAGGGAGCTGCTGGAGCGGTATCACGCCAAGGAGGTGGCCGAAGGAGCTGGTGGTGGTATCAAGGATGAGAGGATGCAGGAGTGATGGAAAAGCTGGCAGTTTAGTGGAACGAAGCCTGGGAAAGGTCTGGATGGCTCGGTGATGGGAGTCTGTCTCATTTACTTCATACCAAAGTGGTATTGGAACGAGAAGAAGAGCCTAATACCAGGCGCACTCTTGCCAGCAGACTTGCGCGGGAGACCAACAATTGATACCCTATTACATTAAATCGTTTGCAGTTCATGGGATGGATGGAAGGCATCAAAAGGGGCAAAATAGCAAAAGCTCAGGTACCCAGTCCGTAAATCGAACTGGGCCCCTACGAAATCCTCCATCCGTTGACTTCTCGAGATTTCATACCGAGTTCTGTACTAACGGACAAGGGCGTTATACCGCTCGACCTTGAGGATCGAGAGGACTTGGTTGAAGGAAGGGCGACCTCAATCCGAATGTAAGGCAAGCTACTCGACGCAGGTCCTGAATCCGCAGACCCGGTATAGTCAATACTCGAGGAATACACACACATACCTAACTTCCGCAACATGGCTGAAAACGATTCGACAGCGTATGCTTGAATGACAGGGGCGTTTCCTGAATGATACTTCAAATTGATACCTATTACGCATGCTTTCGTTACCCGTTCGCAGCCTAGCCACCAGTGATTATGCTGTACCCCATGATCGCATGCTAACGTGAAAGATGCCTCTCGAAACGCCACCCAATGAACAAAATTCCAGTTGCCGACCGCCATGAAGGAAAGCACTATTCCAGCTTTCCATCGGTTCATGGCCTCTCATGTATCGCTCTAGCCATGAACCCGCGCGTCCTCCCCTACAACCCCACGAAACAAAGTGAAATCAAACTTCACCAAGTTGACAGTGAAATGAGTTTCAATATCTGCTTAGGCCTTGAAGCGCTTGTATGCCTTGACCAGGCCTACGTCTTGCTTTGTGACGGCGATCCAGTCAGGGGCATATTGTAAAGCTTCGTCCAAGGCAGGGATTGTCCCGCGAACGTTGGCATCACTCCAAGAGCACGAGATCGTTCCGCTGAATCCTGTAGACTTTCGAACCCGGCGAATCCGAAGTTCCTCGTGCTCCTTGGGAGTCTCCTTGTGAACTGACTCCGCGGGCTTAGCCGCCGAGGGCTTGGCGGCTGGTTTGACGTCAATCGTCCATGGGATAGACGAGTCCCTCCGCCAAAGCGTGATGCCGTTAATGCCCCCTTCTGTAGGTGTGCTGAAGAGGGAGTCGATACCGGCGCCCTCCCGAACGTCAAACGTCACAGCGTCGTCGAAATTGAGAACACACTGCTTTGACTCTGGGGCATCAATGCAAAGCTCATACTCATTGGTCGAGTTCGAGTAAGTGATGTTAACAGTCACGAGATGTGCGTATGGATCCTTTGAAGACACGAGTCCGGAAGACGAGGTGCTCTTAAGCTCAGGCAGTCTGGGCAACACTGCAGATCCATCAAATCGACAATCAGATAGCAAGCCAGCTGATGGAGTGCAAATGACTTCCCGGCCTGCCGCAGATGGCAACTCGTTGATCATTTTGCGGGCGTACTTTTGCAGGCCGAGAATCGAAACTGAAGAGTTTCCATTATCCAGGTCCAAGTGCTGAATGAACTTGACCTTGTAGCGGTTGTTCGCGGAGAACGGGAAAGCGGCAAGGTTGTAGATGAGACTGACGAGGAAAATGAATAACAGGGCCAACGGCACGTAGGAGCTCGTCCTGTGGATGAATGGAGTAAGAGGCAAAGAAATCATGATGCTGAAGACGGCAATCGCGGTATAGAGAAGCAAAGGATCCACACCATCGGCGCCAATGGACTGCATGGCCGAGGTGATGAACAGAGCCACTTGGAGGAAGACGATGATGGTGATCGGAGCGAGCAGAAGGAGTTGGAAGAGCCAGGTCCAAGATGGGAGCTTCGCTGACCACGGTTGTTCTTTCTCATAGGGTTGCTTCTCTCTTGTTTCCTTAGTCTCCTCGTCGTCGTCATCTGGGTTGGACATGATGGCAGAGAGCGAGCGCCGGTAGGTTGTTGCGAATGTCGTGCGTATTGTGCCATTGTTTCCACTGCCATTGTCGCCACTCCTAAGCGGCGTTGTTTCCGTGGGCTCTTCAGTGGTTCCCTCCTCGTGCGGACTCGGAGAAATCAAAGCATCAGAATTGGGAACCTCGGATATATTATCCCTAGACTGCTGATCGTCGTGAGCCGTCTCTGCGTAGGCTCGCTTGCTCGGGAGCGCGAAAAGGTCGCAGAGAGTGATGAGCGTCGCAACAAAGACGGCGGAATGGAAGAACGCAAAGAGATATCCCGAAGCAATCTGGAATCTGTCGGCGGCGGTCGTAACAGCAACGAGGATAGCCCAGCTCAAGATGAAGAGCCAAATGTGGGCGTAACCGCGTTGAAGAGCGCTCGGCCTGACGGCGTTGGCGCCGCGCGAGATTGTCCAGAATGCGAGAAAGAACACAGACAAAGTCATTGCCCAGCTATAGCGTAAAGCATCAGCTTGGAAACGTTCAATGGAGTTGACTTGGACTTACACTGCATAAGGACTGCTGGAAACAACCTCAGGGTTCAGTCTTCGAACCAGGAGGGCAGAAAGGACGGTGATCGCGCCCGAGAAAATAAGGGCCAAGGGGAAACGGAAGAAACCCTTCCAACCGCCAAGAGGGACCGATTCGTCGTCAATGTCTATCTTGACCTTCCTCGAGAAGAAGTAGTACTTGTCCTGCCTCGACAGGATGTAGGTGACGAGGACCAAAATCAGGGGAGACACAATGAGCAGGGTCAATGTCCATGCGAAGAGGCCACGAAGCTCAAGAGTGGCGAATCCCTTGCCAAACATATCGAACCAAACGCCCTCTGTTCCGGAACCGCTTGAAACCTTCTTCTTGTCTCCGTCATTGCGCTTACCGGTGAAGGAGCCCGAAGTCTTCTGAAGCGAATCAACAGCAGCCAAGCCGTTGGAAAGCATGTGCCAAAGGCTCTCTTGCGAGGCATGTCGG